CATTTGCCGAGCGTGGATTTAGTTCGCGGTAAGCCGGAAGAGACTTTCGGCCGAAACACTTTTTTCCCTGACACCATTTTTTTTCCTGACAAATGGGCGCACGTTTCTTTCCCTCGAAGGGATTTGCGGCGATTGTTTCGGCGGAGGGGAACGCGCGGACCCACTTTTGCGGTGGCACAACCAGCGAAAATAACACGAAATTCGAGCCGCGAAAGAAGTCGATCGATTGAAAACACGCCGGTGTAATCTATCAAGCCGCGGAATATCGCGTTTCTCGACAACAATGAAGAGACGCGCAGACGCTAATAGGGCAACGCGTGTTTGTACGACGGCGGTGCACGATCGTCCGGGAACTCCCGTATAATTAACGAGACTGCGTTTCCCGATTAATTGGCCCGGGAGACTTTCACGAAAATTAATCCGCCCCGGGGCGCCAATACCTACCGGTGCAGAGCGGAATTTCAAAAGCAAAAGCAAATGCGCGCGCGCACGACCAATGACGATAACGGGCTTCTGGCGAGTTTGTTTTTTCGAATATTTGACGAATGCATGCCTTATTAAACTCTTCCCTTTGCCGCTGCGAACGAGCGAACTATCGACAGAAATGCACTTTTTTTTAATACTCTCACGCAAGTCGCAATGAAATTCGCGTGACAATCATAGTTCCGAACAAAGGAAGATCCGCGCGGTGTTCGACGACATGACAATAAAAATAAAAAGAGAGAAAAGAAAAAAAAAAGAGAGACTCACAAATAGCATTGTGACGAAATACGCGGGCTGAATGGAATTCCCGTTCCGCAGAGGCAATCGCAGGAATGACGGTTGTATTTTTCCGTCGTCGTCCGCGATGATTTATGAGAACGGTCGCGTGGACGCGGTCCGTGGACGCGCTGTGTGTCCCTACTTTTATTACGTGCAAACCATTTACAGACGGCGTTCATTAGAGGGAGTGCCTTGATCGAGTGGACTGAAAGGAAAGTAATGACGTTCCGGTGGAGGCTATCGGTAACATGGAACAAGGTCGTTAAGACCGTGTCGCGAGGATTCATCGATCTTCCGGTGTCTCGTCTCCGACTGTCAGTTTCAGGTTGCGTAGTTCGAACAGACAACGCCCGATCGTGACGTTTAGGGATCGGGGTCAGAACTGGGGAATGAAGAAAAAGAAAAAAAAGAACAATTCTTCAAGCAAAGCTCCTCGCGAATTTCTCGGGAAAAGAATTATTCGCCTCATTTATACGTTCCTTTCGTTTGTCCTTCGAGACTTTGCTCGTCGGCAGAAGCTTCTCCTATGCTCAATAGTTCCCGATTTCTTGACAAATTGATATTTGATTTCTTCAGGGAGTTTGATCCTTTTTGGCTGTCAGATAATGAAGTTAGAATTTTCCCGTAAAAAAATTTCTGTTAAAGATTCTTTTATATTTTTAAGAAAAGTTTACATTTTGAAAACACAATCGCTACTTGTCCTTTTTGGTAGAATCTAGTCTTTTTGGAACGAGATTAGCGTGACTTAGCGTCTGCCGGAAGAACTGGAAATAAGCCAAAAACTATGTACTTATGACACTTTGAGTACTCTGCTTAACTTTTAGCGCATTCGAAAGTTCCATCGTTATACAAATTGTAGAAGAGCTTCGCGTTTATTTCCGTATTGACGCATATGCGTACTCACTTTTGTGTAAAATGCCCGCGCTTTTATTTATAACGCGGTGAAGAGTAAACATCGAATGTTTTGTTTTATTAATTATATTATCAATAACTGGAAATAAATACCAGAGAATCGAACGCTACAGAATTTCATGAATAGAAATAAAAACAATTTAACATGATATGAATTACTTTTGGTAAATGAAATAATTTAATCGAAGAATAATTAAATAGAAATAGTTTCATAAAAATAATTTATAAAATATGAGAACAATGGTATTTTAAAATTATCGAGGAATTAACGATATTTTAATCTTTCCAATTTTACCATTACGACCGTCCATTCGCGAAAAAAGGCGGTGGCGAGAAGTATATTTCTCTGCACTTGTAACATCAAAAAGCGAACACATCGACATCGTGTGACCTTAAAAGTCCGGTGTAGAAGACGTCTCTCGACGCGACCACTCCACGCGTTACTGCATGTACGAGAGTGCTCCAAGAGGGACATCGTCCATAACTTTGCATTCTCATTGGTGCTTTGTGCGAGCACCGCGGGGATTCCGGCTCCCAAATTCGGACGCGGTTCGACGAACTTGCTGGAAAGATGATCGGAGATGCGGCGGTGGGTGGGCGCCGGCTGGATCGCGGCCAAGAGTCTTCTCGCCCCTTTGATCGCTCCATCAGCCGAATCGGGCCGCTGTATATTATCAATACCGGTCCAATGTCGAATCCTGGCGCGGGAGAAGCGCGTAAAGCCGGAGTAAGTTAAATTGCGCCGCCGAGCGCGGCGGCTGTCGGTCGTTTGAAAGCCCATTTCCGATAGAAACCACCCCTTTTCCGCCCCTCTTCCTTGTCAGTCAAACGCAATGAAACCAAGCCCCGGCTTCTCATCCTTTATATCAATTTTCGGCCAATTTTGAATTGCACGCGCTCGTTCCGCGGGGATTCCGCCTGCTTGCCGTTCGGCCTGGAAAAATATCTAGGATTGATTGCTCGCAGGTATGTCGCAATAAATTGGCAGTCCCGACGCGACGCTGTATCCTTTCGCAGTATCCGCACTAAAAAGTTTGATCGCTGCAGCGAGCACCGCACTGCGGACTCCCGGAACGCGTCGTCCACTAACATTCGTGCGAGCGACGAAAAAGAAAAAGCGACTTAGTCCGGAAACGCAAAACTCTCAGGAGAGAAGGGAAAAATATCGCGTTTTGCGAAATCTACGACGTGATTTGTAATGAAAATTTTATGTATTGCGGAGATTGCTTCATCCGATGCGGAAAGTGGTGTTTTCCACTGGTGTTTGCTCACGATATTTTAAATAAATATATAATAAAAGATTGTACGACCCCACAAAATATTGTCAGTTAATAATTTGTCAGCAAACTACACGACAGCATGACTCTCCAAATATCTTTATAAAAAAAATATAGTTTATGCGAAAAGACGAACGCATAATTGAATATTTATGAGTGCAGTAACGCAATGTGATTTGACAAAAAAAGTCACCTTTATTGGTCTCATTACTTCTTGCTGGCTCAATTAAATATCGAACATTGAATATTTAACATGGATAGCAATTGGCATTCGGAGATAGTTTGACATTTCGTTCCTTGATATGCGTTCTTCGTTACCCCATAATGCATATTTATGAATCCTTGAATCGTAATGGATGCGCGAGCGACGCGAATTCAGTAATAATATCTCTTCTCTCCATGATACGGACCTCCGGGCGGACCTCGCTATCAACACTCTATTGAGACCTCTAAACTGTGTTGCTCTCGATTTACATATTTTCGAATATTCGTATTATGCAGACGATATTTAATCTTCAGCAGACTCGTTGCAGAAGACGGAAACGTCTCTCTTTGCATAGCAAAGTTGTCAAAACATTTACTTTCAACTGCTGCTCGCTATCGAAAAGTTTACCTGAAACTAACATGCACTTCAGTATATTTCTCCGCGTAGAAGAGTACGTCGTATTTTGTAAAATTACATTTCGTCACAGAAACCGTTTGGCATGGCGAACACGTATCAGTCGTTACTTTTCGCGTTTTTGTCAATTTTTTTATTACGTTACATTTATGCAAGCACGTGGCAAGCAACGCGATGCAAGAGAAGCGATAATTAAAGTCTCGTCCGTGCTTAAAAATTATATTCTCCGATTATTCTTGAATAAAATTATTATATAAAATTTGAAGATATCTTTTTTATATATTTTAAATAGAATTAAACATTGCATTAATCCATAATTTATTTTTCAACATTTTACGAATTCAAGATAATATATTTTTGTATTTTCAAACATTTTTATAAATTTTATTGACCGTTATTATCTTTATTGTGTTGTTTTTTAACAATATTTGTTTTAACGAATGTTTTTAGGCTGCTTTTTCTCTGAAAATTGAATCTTCGGCTCACATGAATATGCAACGTCGAGATAGGATCCCCATAAAATTGTAACCGTATCTTAGTTTTCCGTTTCACTGCATTACTATTGATCTGTGACCCGTGCAGCGTGATTGCACTGCGGATACGCCAGTATCGCTATATTAACAGATTACATCGATGCTTTTCTCGTTGTGAAAATAAAAACCGTACGAGAAAATTGTCTCTGTTCGTTTAAATTAAATAATAATGGCAATATAACCTTTATCTCGACAAAAAGCTGCTTGAGAAAAATTGAAATGGTTTAATAGAAATTTCTTATTATTAAGTCGCACAATATATCACCGATTTAATTTATAACAATCGCCATAATTGATTCGATGAAATAAAAAGAGCGGGATGAGCTTTTAGATAGTGCACGGAAGAGTACACTTCGATGATAATCAATAATAAATTAATCAACAATTAAGCAATATCAGATAGTGATTTAATCACAGTTAATTCTTTGACTTTGTCGAATTCCGCATTTGTAACGCATTTATTTGTTGAACCGTACAGATCGCGTGAAAACGCACGACCGACAACATTCGATTTTATCAACTTTAATCGCCGAAATAGACCGCCAGGATTAATACTCATCGAACATTTTAATTATATAATGACGTATTACCACGTTCCCGGATTGAAAAGCGAGATGGCTAAATGCGAGGTTTCCGATGCTTTAATGATAATTAGATGAAATCGAAAACGATATATGGTATATGATACATGCGCGATTAGCTCATCGAGAATTAATATCTCGTTTGGTGTAGCGTGAACGAGTTGACAGGTGTTGCGCGATAACGCATCAAATTAAAAAATAAAGACGCGTACTGCAGGATAAATGGAAAATCATATATGCATACGTAATCGTATTACGATCGAGTTGTCAATCGAGATCATAAATTGTAACAGAAACAATTGTTTGTTGGTTGCAGCGAAGCTGGACGGCGTGAAGACGTACATGAGGATGAGGAGAGTGCCGAATCATTTGCAGGTGAAGGTTATCAAATGGTTCGACTATCTGTGGCTGACGCAGAAGTGTTCCGACGAGGAGAAAGCAGTGAGTTGTCTTCCGGGTAAGTTGATATTTCAATTTATATATTAAAGTAACTGTAATGTAATGTAATAAACTTTAATACGCAACGCATTAATTTACTGAAAATTAATTTACTGAAAAAGAGACAAATGAGAAACACAGATAAAAATGCAAAAGAAACTGTAAAATTGCATTTTACAAAAGGCATGCAGTTATTTTTAATATGAGAAATTCGTGGAAATTATAATGAATAATGTAATTAACGCGAATGTTATTATCTTATTTTCATATTAATTATTTATTCTCTCTTTATTCTCTAATTATTAATATGTAACATAAAACAGGAATGAATATATTTGCATAAACGTGAGATACGTGAAAATCCGGCGTGGTCGTAACTTTATGATATTTATATAAGTCCGGTGCGCAAGAGTAGTCGGGTCAAGCTTACGCTATTTTACAGGCGTATAATTTAACGAATGTGCAATTAATGCATCCGTCGTGAACTTTGTGAGTTAAAAACTTTTTATTTTTTTTCACAGCAATTTATTAATCAAATAACGACGATTCTAAATTACGCGAAGCGAATGTTTACGAGCAATGAAATCGGTATCGCCGCCTTTCGTTGGTGTTGGCGTATATAATTTCGCAGGAAACATTTGATCTCGTAACTGCTGGCGAGATCTGCAAACTAAAATGCGAGCAAACCGAAGCATAAGCAGGCTACATGTACAGCTGCCAACATCGTCACCCTTTAATGCAACTGCACGAGAGCAAACAGTTGTGCGCGAATTTTCGCCAAGGTACTTTTGCCAAGAGGTGAAACAAAAATACATGCTAAAACTTCGCGGTGTATTTCGAAAGTTGGCATTTATTAATTCCCCGCGCTCACCATAAGTTTTTCTCTCTCTCTCTCT